AAAGCGTATTTAGGTTGTACTTTCCCCAGCAGGGCAAAAAGAAGGGCAAAGCAAACTAGAAGAGACTTCTACTCTACTGACAGGCCTCTTCATATCCAACGTCAAGCTACACACACCCTCACTGGCCACTCTACAGGTTGTTGTTCCACTGCTGAGTGACACAGGCTTATACTACATTTGCAAGGAAAAAAATAAGGCAGGAAACACAAGCATAGGTCACTTAGGAACAAGCAGGCATCCACAGCTTCAAAACTCTTCATGGAAGGGGTAATCCTTGTGGGAGGCATAGCTCACCAAGGCACAGACCCTCCAGTGCCTGTTGTAGCTGAGTAAGGTGGTCATATCCTGGCTGCTTAGTTCAAAATCAAAGACCTTAAAGTTCTCAGCAATGCGTTCTGTTGTCACAGACTTGGGGATCACCACCAAGTTCCTCTGCAAGGGGAACCAGATCAGGACCTGGGCTGTAGTTCTACTGTGCTTGGCTGCAATCGCCTTGATCATGGGATCCTCCAGGAGGCAAGGGTCCTTGGGCTTGGTCCAGGGCCTGTTGCGAGAGCCAAGGGGGTTTTGGCAGTCACCACAATGCCTTTGGACTGGCAGTACTGGACTAAATTCTGAGTGAGGTACGGGTGGGACTCAATCTGGTTAACTGCAGGCTTATACTTTAAGCCAGATTTGTTTAAGATCCTCTCCACCTGGAGATGGTTGAAGTTGGAAATGCCAATAGCTTTCACCAGTTCTTCATCCACCAGCTCTTCCATGGCTGCCCACGTGTCCAGAATGTTGGTGTCACTGGGAGCCACACTGCCCAACTCATCAAATGGGAAAAATTCCTTCCCAGGCTTAAAGCCAGTCAGTGAATAAGGTAGAGGTCCAGGTAGTCCAGCTTTAGGTCGCTGAGCGTCTTCAGGCAGGCTCCTTGCACCAGGCCCTTCTCATGGTACATGCACCACAGCTTGCTGACGATGAAGAGCTCCTCAAGCTTCACCACCTGCTCCCTGAGCTTCTCCTGAATGGCTACACCCACCTCATTCTCATTCTGGTACACATGGGCAGAGTCGATGTGGTGGTACACAACATCAAGGGCCACCTTCACAGCCTCAGTCACCTGGCCTGGAGGGGAATTCCAGGTGCCCAGCCCGAGGATGGACATCTTGGCACCATTGTGGAGCACAAGGTGGCTGGCCATGGCTGCTGTGCTCCCCAGACACCTGCCCAGAATGCTATTTATTTATAATTTTTATTTTTATTTTATAGACAGGGTATCCCTCTATTACCCAGGTTGGAGTGCAGTGGCACAATAATAGCTTCCTGCTACCTCAAACTCCTGGGCTCAAGTGGTCTTCAAGCCTTAGCCTCTTGAGTAGCTAGAATGACAGGAAAGTGCCACCACACCTACCTATTTATTTTTTTTGTAGAGATGGGTCTTACTAAGTTGCCCAGACTGGTGTCAAACAACTGGCCTCAAGCAATTCTCCTGTCTCAGACCCCAAAGTGTTGGGATTATAGGCATGAGCCACCACACCTGGCCTGGCATCTTTTAAATCTCATTTGATGCTTCTGAGTCACTGCTCCTGAGAGGCAAGGAATTTAGTGACTCTCTATATAATACCTTTGACCATATGTGGAGAACCAAGGAACGTAATGAAGCTGGTTGGTTGCTCCTAAGTACATTGGACAAAGTGATGAAATAAAATGATGAACTCAGAGATTCTGTCTCATGGCTTCAGAAGCAGGCACTGAGCCTCAAATCTGCTAAGATTGCCCTGAATGAGAGTCTTGTCTCCTGTAGAGAAAGAGCTGAAATTGTGGAAAAACAGACACAAGTTCTTATCATGCAAGTGGCTGATCTGCAGTAAAAGGTGCATGCACAGCCTCGCCAGGTGTCTACTGTTCAAGTGAGGGCATTGATTAGAAAAGAATGGGGCCCTTCAACTTGGAATGGGGACATGTGGGAGGACCTTGATGAAGTTGGGGACACTGAGTTTGTAAACTCTGAAGAAACTTTTTTGCCAGTAGTGGCAACATCCCCTCCCTGACCCATGCTGCCACCAGCCTTTCCACCTTTGTCTGAGGAGATAAACCCTGCACTGCCTGAGGCAACAGTGATGGCCTCCCCTGAGGCAGCTGCCAGGCCCCAACACCCCTGTTTGCTTCTAGACCTATAACTAAAGTCCCAGTGAGCCCATAGAAGTGAGGTTGAGAGTGTGACCCATAAGAAGATGTGATACACTCAAAAAGAACTGTTTGGGTTCTCTAATTTAAATAAACAGAAATCTGAAGAATAGGCATGGGAATGGATATTAAGGGTATGGGATAATGGTGGAAGGAACATAGAGTTGGATCAGGCTGAATTTATTGATTTGGGCCTACTAAGTAGGGACTCTGCTTTTAATATTACAGTTTGGGACATTTAAAAAAGTTCTATTTGAGTTCTTTGTAAATTCTGGATATCAGCCCGTTGTCAGATGGCGGGTGATGAAAAATGAGAACACATGGACACAGAGAGGGGAGTACTAAACACTGGGGTCTATTGGGGGGAAAAGGGGAGGGCCAGTGGGAGGGGGAGGTGGGGAGAGATAGCCTGGGGAGAAATGCCAAATGTGGGTGAAGGGGAGAAAGGAAGCAAAACACACTGCCATGTGTGTACCTATGCAACTGTCTTGCATGTTCTGCACATGTACCCCAAAACCTAAAATGCAATAAAAAATTTTTTAAAAAAGTTCTAATAGTTTATTTGCTTAGTTAGCTGAGCTATGGATTAAAATATGGTCCACTGTGAGCAAGCTGGAAATTCCTGATGTCCCTTGGTTTAATGTAGAGGAAAGGATCCAAAGACTTAGGAAGATTGGGATAGTGAAGTGGATTTTAGACCTACTTTAGACCTACTCATCCAAGCTGGGAGGGTCCAGAATATATACCTCAACTAGTGCCTTCTGAAATAATTTGTGAGGGCAGTATCTGCATTTTTGGAAAGCCCTGTCATTGCTCTTCTCTGTATGCCACATTTAATGGTGAGAACTGCAGCCACTCAACTACAAAATTTAAATACAATGGGAATAGTTGGATCCCAAGTTGGTAGGGGCCAAGTGTGGCACTCAATCATCAAAAGCAAGGTGGGTGTAGCTACGGTAATGGATAGCAGAGGCAAAGCAGCAATCAGAATAGCCTGACTCAGGTAGAGCTCTAGCATTGGCTAATTAATCATGGTGTTCCTAAAAGCAAATAGGAAGCCTCCTACATTCCTACTTAATTTATATAAGCAGAAAACTTCTAGGTCAAAAGAGAAAAAGACTAATTTGAATTACAAAAACAGAGAATCATGGCCCCTGAATCAATTTCCAGACTTGAGCCAATTTACAGACCCAGAATGAAGGAGAGGCTGGGTCCCCTTGAGGAAAGACAACACTACACTACCAACAATTTGTGCAGTGAACCTTTCTCCTATCCTTCCCCAAGGAGACCTCTGGCCTTTTACCAGGGTAACTGTGCATGGGGGAAGGGAAATGATCAGGCATTTCTGGGACTACTGGACACTGGCGCTGAGCTGACATTGATTCCAAAAGACCCAAAACATCATTGTGGTCCTCCATTAAAAGTAGGGGCTTACAGAGATCAGGCAATTAATGCAGTTTTAGCTCAGGTCTGACTTACAGTGGGTCCAGTGGGTCCCCAGACTTATCCTGTGGTCACTTCCCCAGTGTCAGAATGCATAATTGGCATAAACATACGTAGCAGTTGGCAGAACCCTCACACTGGTTACCTGACTGGTAAGGTGAGGGCTACTATGGTGGGAAAGGCCAAATGGAAGCCATTAGAGCTGCCTCTACCTAGAAAAATAGTAAATCAAAAACAGCATTGCATCCCTGGAGGGACTGTGGAGATTAGTGCCACCATCAAGGACTTGAAGGACAGGGGTGGTGATTCACACGACATCCCCACTCAACTCTCCCATCTGGCCTGTGCAGAAGACAGACAGATCTTGGAGAATAATAGTGAATTACTGCAAGCTTAACCAAATGGTGACTCCAGTTGCAGCTGCTGTACCAGATGTAGTTTATTGCTTGAGCAAATTAACACATCTCCTGGTACCTGGTATGCAGCCACTTACTAGCCAAATGCTTTTTTCTCCATTCCTGTCCATAAGGCCTACCAGAAACAATTTGCCTTCAGCTGGCAAGGCCAGCAGTATACCTTTACTGTGCTACCTCAGGGGTACATCAACTCTCCAGGTTTGTGCCATAATCTTATTGGGAGAACTTTGATTGCTCTTTGCTTCCACAAGATATCACATTGATCCATTACATTGATGATATCATGTTGACTGGATCCAGTGACCAAGAAGTAGCAAACACACTGGACTTACTGGGGAGACATTTGCATGCCAGAGGATGGGAAATGAATCCAACTAAAATTCAGGGACTTTCTACCTCAGTAAAATTTCTAGGGGGTCTACTGCTTGGAGCTTGTTGAGATATTTTAAGGTGAAGGATAAGTTGCTGCATTTGGCTCCTCCTACAACCAAGAAAGAGGCACAACGCCTAGTGGACCTATTTGGATTTTGGAGGCAACACATTCCTCATTTGGGTGTGTTATTCTGGCACATTTTTTGAGTGACACGAAAGACTACCAGTTTTGGGTGGGTTCCAGATCAGAAGAAGGCTCTGTAACAGGCCCAGGCAGCTGTGCAAGCTGCTCTGCCATAGACCATATGACCCACCAAGATCCAATGGTGCTTGAGGTGTCAGTGGCAGAGAAGGATGCTGTTTGGTGCCTTTAGCAGACCCCCATAGGTGAATCACAGCAGAGGCCTCTAGGATTTTGGAGCAAGGCCCTGCCATCTTCTCCAGATAACTACTCTCCTTTAGTGAGTCAGCCCTTGGCCTGTTACTGGGCTTTGGTGAAAACTGAACGTTTGACTATGGGTCATCAAGTCAACTGAACTGCCTATCATGAACTGGGTGCTTTCCGACCAATCTAGCCATAAAATGGGTTGCACTGGTTGCATTCCATCATCAAATGGTAGTGGTATACACGTGATGCACAGCAGCATTCCATCATCAGATGGTAGTGGTATATACGTGATGGGGCTCAAGTAAGTCCTGAAGGCACAAGGAAGTTATATGAGGAGGTGGCTCAAATGCCCATGGTTTCCATTCCTGCCACCCTGCCTTCTCTTCCTCAGTTTGCACTAATGGCCTCATGAGGAGTTCCCTATGATCAATCGATAGAAAAAGAAGACTAGGGCCTTGTTCACAGATGGTTCTGAATGATATGCAGGCATCACCCAAAAGTGAACAGCTGCAGCACTACAGCCCCTTTCTAGGACATCCCTGAAGGACAGCAGTGAAGGGAAATCTTCCCAGTGGGCAGAACTTTGAGCAATGCACTTTGTTGTGCACTTTGCGTGGAAGGAAAAATGGCCAGATGTGAGATTACATACTGATCCATGGGCTGTAGCCAATGGTTTGTCTGGTCAGGGACTTGGAAGACATAAGATTGGAAAATTGGTGACAAAGAAATTTGGGGAAGAGGTATGTGGATAGAAATCTATGAGTGGTAAAAACCTGTGAAGACATTTGGATCCCATGCGAGAAGTCACCAACAGATGACCTCAGCAGAGGAGAATTTTAATAATCCAGTAGATAGGATGACCCATTCTGTGGGCACCACTCAGCCTCTTTCCTCAGCCACCCGTTATTGCCCAATGGGCCCATGCACAAAGTGGCCATGGTGGCAGGGATGGAGCTTATGCATGGGCTCAGCAACATGGATCTCCACTCAAGAAGGCTGACTTGGCTATGGCCACTGCTGAGTGACCAATTTGCCAGAAGCAGAGACCAACACTGAGCGCTCAATATGGCAACATTCCTCAGGGTGATCAGCTAGCTACCTGGTGGCAGGTTGATTATACTGGACTCTGAATGCCTTACCCACCATTATGGTATTCCACACAGCATTGCCTCTAACCAAGGCACTCACTTTATGGCTAAAGAAATGTGGCAATGGGCTCGTGCTCATGGAATTCACTGGTCTTACCCTGTTCTCCATCATCCTGAAGCAGCTCGATTGACAGAATGGTGGAATGGCCTTTTGAAGTCACAATTACAATGCCAACTACTTTGCAGGGCTAGGCAAAGTTCTCCAGAAGGCCATGTACACTCTGAATCAGTGTCCAATATATGGTAGTTTCTCCCATAGCCAGGATTCAGGGGTCCAGGAATCACAGTGTGGAAGTGGAAGTGGCACCACTCACCATCACCCATAGTGATCCACTAACAAAGATTTTTGTTTCCTATTCCCATAACATTATGTTCATCTGTCCTAGAGGTCTTAGTTCCAGAGGGAGGCACATTGCCACCAAAAGACACAACAACGATCCCATTAAACTGGAAGTTAAGATTGCCACTTGGACACTTTCGGCTCCTCCTATCTTTAAGTCAACAGGCTAAAAGGAAGTTAGTTTGGCTGGGATAATTTACCCGGACTATCAAGATGAAATCAGTCTGCTACTCCACAATGGAGGTAAGGAATAGTTGGCATAGAATACAGGAAATCCATTAAGTTGTCTCTTAGTATTGCCCTGTGATTAAGGTCAATGGGAAACTACAACAGCCCAATCCAGGCAGGACTACAAACAGCCCACACCCTTCAGGAATGAAGGTTTGGGTCACTCCACCAGGAAACAAACAAACAAAAAGAATCTGCTGAGGTGCTAACTAAAGGCAAAGGAAATACAGAATGGGTAACGGGAGGTAGTCATCAATATGAGCTACAATCATGTAACCAGGTGCAGAACTGGGGACTGCAATTGTCATTTGTTCTTTTTTTTTTTTTTTTTTTGAGACAGAGTTTTGCTCGTTACCCAGGCTGGAGTGCAATGGCGCGATCTCGGCTCACCGCAACCTCCGCCTCCTGGGTTCAGGCAATTCTCCTGCCTCAGCCTCCTGAGTAGCTGGGATTACAGGCAGGCACCATCATGCCCAGCTAATTTTTTTTGTATTTTTAGTAGAGACGGGGTTTCACCATGTTGACCAGGATGGTCTCGATCTCTTGACCTCGTGATCCACCCGCCTCGGCCTCCCAAAGTGCTGGGATTACAGGCTTGAGCCACCGCGCCCGGCCGTCATTTGTTCTTTTGTTAAAAACATGTTTGTGCATGTATACACTTGTACTAAGAAAATATTTTCATTTCCTTTTTCCTTATGTGACATAAGATTTATTAACTTCATATCAGCATTTAAGTGTTGTTAAGTTTATGTAATAGTATTTGGGTTGGGGATTGGTGAATTTCTGGTTGTGCAAAGAACAGCTGTGTTAGGCATAATTATGACCCTATTATTGTCTTTATTTGAAGACTATGTATTACCTCGAGAGATGTGTATGGGTTCCAGTTGACAAGGAGTGGACTTGTGACAGTTAATACTGGGTGTCAACTTGATTGGACTGAAGGATACAAAGTATTGATCCTGGGTGTGTCTGTGAGGGTGTGTTGCTAAAGGAGATTAATATTTGAGTCAGTGGGTTGGAAAAGACAGACCCACCCTTAATTGGGTGGGCAGCATCTAATCAGCTACCAGCAAATATAAAGCAGACAGAAAAATGTGAAAAGTGTAGACTGGCCTAGCCCCCTAGCCTATATCTTTCTCCCATGCTGGACACTTCCTGCCCTCAAACATTGGATTCCAAGTTCTACAGTTTGGAGACTTGGGACTGGTTCTTTTTGCTCCTCAAGCTTGCCAACAGCCTATTGTGGGACCTTGTGATTGTGTAAGTTAATACTTAATAAACTCCCATATCTATAATTATATACATATATATGCACATTTATATGTCCTATTAGTTCTGTCCCTCTAGAGAACCCTAATACAACCTCGTATACCACAGCATGAGTCACTTTTTAGTTCTAGACTTTTTTTCATAGATTCGTTTTTTCCATACATAATCATTTTGTCTGTGCATAGTTATTTCTTTTCCTTTTGTAAATATATTTTATCTTTTTACCTTGTCTTCTTACATTTGCTAGGTCCTCTATAACAATATTGAATAGAAAAGGAGAAAATGGCCATTCTTGCTCTGTCATTAATATTTTAAAGGAAAAGTGCTCCATATCTCAGCATTAATAATGATACTATAAAGTTTTCATAGATATGCTTTATCAAGTTGAAAATCCCTTCCATTCCTAGTTTGCCAAGAGCATTGATCACAAGTGGGTGTTGGTAGGATTTTTATATTTTTTATGATTTTTAACAAGTTTTTCAAATGCATTTTTCCGAATCTATTTTTCTCCTTTATTTTGTTGATATATTTTTTACTTAGTCAGGTTTATTGATATATAATTTACACATAGTAAAATTTCTTGAATATATCATTTTATGCATTTTCAAAAAAGCAGAGTTGTGTAACTGTTACAAAAGTTAAAGAATGGAATTACCCTGTAAATTCCACGTGACCCTTAGCAGTCAATGCCTTCTGCACCTCCATTCCATGGAAATCACTGATCTGCTTTTTGTCCTTATAGTTTTTATGGTATGTCATATAAATGTTATATATTATATAGTCTTTTGAGTCTACTTTAACAATTCATTTGAAAATTGAATAAAAATTAATTTCCTTTGACATTCATCCACGTTATTGTATACATCAACATTTCCTTTTTATTACTAAGTATTCTGTTGTACAGATGAACCCAATTTTCTTAATCACTCATAGTTGAAAATATTTTGATTTTCCAATTCAGGGCAATTATGAATTTAAAATGCTATACATATTCACATACAGGTTTTAGTGGAATTGCTGGGTTATACTGTAAATGTATGTTAAACATTATAAAGAAAGCCCCAAAATGGTTTCCAAAGTGGCTGTACCATTTTTTATTCCCCAACAGTGTATGAGAATTTTAGCTGCCAATACTAGCATTATATTATTTTCTGGTTGTTCTAACAGGCACATATGATGATATCTTATTGTAGTTTTAACTTACATTTGCTTAAAGACTAATGGTGTTTAGCACCTTTTTATGTTATTATTTGCAATCCATATCTTTTTTTTTTTGAGATGAATCTCACTCTGTTGCCAGGCTGGAGTGTGGCAGCAAGATCTCGGCTTGCTGAGATCCACCTCCCGGGACCTCCACCTCCCGGGTCCAAATGATTCTCCTGCCTCAGCCTCCTGAGTATCGGGACTATAGGCATGCACCACTACACCCAGCCAATTTTTGAAAATAATGTATATTCTGCAGTTGTTGGTTGTAAGATCACATAAATGTAGATTTTTACAACTGTTGTCCAAATTTTATATATTTTATCATTTTTTGGATGACAATTCAGTATGAAAATCTTCTCTTTTTGCCTCGGTTTTGGTAATTTCAATTGATCTCTGAGTTCACTAATCCTTTTTCTGCAATATCCAGTTTTCTGTTTATCTCATCCAATGAATTATTTCAATCATATATTTTAGTTCTAAAATTTCCATTTAGTTTTTAGTTTCCAGTATTTTGCTGAAATTCACTGTTTCATGTATTTTGCTCATCCTTTCTTGTAAATTCTTTAATACATGTATATGTTCTTAAAGGTTTTTTGTTTGTTTTGTGATGTAGTCTCACTCTGTTGCCCAGGCTGGAGTGCAGCGGCACGATCTTGGCTCACTGTAACCTCCAACTCCCTGGTTCAAGCTATTCTGCTGCCTCAACCTCCTGAGTAGCTGGGATTAAAGGCATCCATCACCATGCCCAGCTGATTTTTGTATTTTTAGTAGAGATGGGGTTTCACCATGTTGGCCAGGATGGTCTCAAATCTCCTGATCTCATGATCTGCCCACCTTGGCCTCCCAAAGTGCTGGGATTACAGGCATGAGCCACCATGCCCTATTAAGTTTTTGCTTACTAAAATACTAGTCTCCATTATCTGTGATCTGCTTCTGTTGACTTTGTCATGTAAGGGTCACATTTTTCTGCTTCCTCCATTATCTTTTTTATTATATACCAGACATTTGTGTACAAAACATCAATAGAGCCTAAATAATTTTCTCAGAAAGAATTTGCCCTTTCTTCTGTCCTGCAGCAAGAATGAGGGTCTGAGTTATTTATTACAGATTTACCTGCAAGGGTTCCGGGTTGCTACTTCAATTGGTTTTGGGTTACCTCTAGCTTCAAAGTCTGAAAGAGATTAGGCTCCATTCTCCAGTCAGGTTTTGTGATTTGATCACCATGAGGCTACAAGGCTTTGCTTGGTTTCACAGCCCAGCCCCTGGTTTCCTATGTCATTGCTTAGTCAGAAAAGTTCCACTGAAAAGAAACTGATGTGTGGGGAAAAGTAATTCTGTATTTGGGACTCATCCAGACCCCAATATGCCATGATACTCCTTGTGTAGCTGTTATTACAAAATTTTTCTCCCCGTAACAGGCTATTTCCATTCAAAAATGACAGCAGTCATTAGTCTCTTCAACTAAGAGTATTCTTTTCCTCTTTACACTTCTGTGTCAACAGTTCTCCAATGACTTTCAAGCCAAATATGATGTTAATTTATCCAGTATTTTCTCATTAATATGGCAGGAGTAATGGTCTTCAGCAATCTTCTGTAGCTAACCAAAAGTGGAACTTCCACTTTATTTCTAGCTTGATGTTATTAGGTACATATAAATTTATGATTGTTGTATCTTCCTCACATCATTTTTGAAATGTTCCTTTTTTTGTAATAATGCTTTTTTGTCTCTAAGCCTACTATGGTATTTTACTTTCAACTGTTTTCCTGTTCTTAGTCTTTAAAAAGCAACATAGTCTTACTAGTGTGACAATATTTTAGTTGAATGGCTTAGTCCTTTAAAAGTAGGTACAAATAGTTTATTAGCTTTTTAGTTACACATTATTTTTAGTGCTTACTTTTGACATTGTAGTATGCATCCTTAGTTTACTAAAATATAACTAGTAGTTTTATTCCTTCTCTGCTACCTGCAAATTCCAGTAGCACCTGAAACTCACTTTCAGTAGTGAGCTTCTCATTCACTTCTATCTTGGTGCAGTTACTATTTCCACATGAGATCATAAAAACTGAGTGAAACGTCTTTTTAAAATCTTTATATTATCCTACAGTACCTTTCATACAATAGAGGTACAATAAAATGATGGCTGATTTACTACAGATTACAGGGTGCAGTGGCTCACATCTGTAATCCCAGCACCTTGGGAGGCCGAGGCGGGTGAATGACTTGAGGTCAGGAGTTCGAGACCAGCCTGACAAACATGGTGAAACCCCATCTCTACTCAAAAAATAAAAAATCAGCCGGGCATGGTGGCACACACCTGTAATCCCAGCTACCTGGGAGGCTGAGGCAGGAGAACTGCTTGAACCCAGGAGGCAGTGAGCCGAGATTACACCACTGCACTCCAGCCTGGGCAATAAGATAGAACTCCATCTTAAAAAAAAAAGATGGCAGAACATGCCAGTTTACCCATTTAAAAAATGAAAATTCCATGATCAGAGGCTACGCTACATCTTTCTGGCCCCAGCTCACTTAGGCCCACAGTTCTCCCTGTACACACACAGGTAGAAAGGTACTGGTAACGAGACCACTACAAAATTGTCAACTCCCCAGTCTCCCATATACCTAGCCTTACCTCCCCCTGACTTTCACCCCTTCAATGGCCTCTGTTGTTTCCTCACATTTTTGGTTGGTAGCTGTCCATAGAAGAAAGGATTCATATATGCTTGGTGTATAGCTTATTCACACTATCATTTGCCAGTTTCTTACTATGTCATGAAAGGACTTTTCTCTTGTAAATGACGTGAGGGGCATTAGTAAGTATATGTGGAAGGTCTTAAAGGGATCTTGCTCTTTTTAAAACCACACTATGCCTAACACTAGGCATGTTGGGAGCATGGAGTAAGGTCTGCTTCTGTTCCCTGAGGGGTAGGTGTCTGTGTCAGAAAGACATAAAGCAAGAAATTAGAGAAACATCAGCAAAGAATTACTACTAAGACTCAACAGAGGTGGCCGGGTGTGATGGCTCACGCCTATAATCCCAGCACTTTGGGAGGCAGATCACTTAAGGCCAGGAGTTCAAGACCAGTCTGGCCAATGTGGCAAAATCCCTTCTCTACTAAAAAAATGTAAAAATTAGCTTGGTGTGGTGCCACGGCACCTGTGGTCCCAGCTACATAGGGGGCTGAGGTGGGAGGATCGCTTGAGCCTGAGAGGTGGAGGATGCAGTTACCCTTGATCATTCCACTGCACTCCACTCTGGGTAACTGAAGGAGAGCATGTCTATAAAAAAAAAAAAAAAAAAAAAAAAGAGTAGACAGAGGCCAAGTGCAGTGGCTCATGTCTGTAATCCCAGGACTTTAGGAGGCCACGACAGGAGGATTACTTGAGCTCAGGAGTTCAAGACCAGCCTGGGCAACCAGGAAATCGAGGCTGCAATAAGCCATGATTGCACCACTGCACTCCAACCTGAGTGAAAGAGTGAGACTGTCTCAACAACAACACATAAGAGTCAAGAGTGTTTACACAGTGAGAAAAAAATTTAATGAGTTGTCAACATGAAAATATTAATTGCAGTTTATAAGGAAATATTAAATGCAGTTCATGCCATTTGAAGCAAATTAGCATGCAACAAAATAAGTATGTGCATCAATGACTTTCAGACCTTTCTTCATAACCGCAGGTTTCTATGGCAATGCTTGAGGAGACAGGCTCCAGAACCCCACTTCCTTTCACCTGGGCCACTCTTCTCCATCTACTCATAAGATCTTATATGAAAGAAAAAATTTCCCTGAAGATGATTTAAAAAGAATGGGAATCAGAGGCAAAGAGGAAAAGAATTTGTATATTGTTTACATGAAGGATTAACTAAACCAAATCAAATTTGTGATTTTATTAAATCTTTTTCAACTCTGAAAAAAAAAAGCACAGTAAGGAACAGACATAGCTTAACCAGTTATTAAAACACAGTATAAAGCCTCCATAATTAAAACAGCATGGTACTGACACTTGGACAGATTAATAATAGAATAGAAAGTACAGAAATAGATATAAATACACCCAGGAATTTGGGTTTTAAAAGTGGTTTATAAAAGTAAAAGAGCTGAATTATGATCCTTTACAGAGAAAAATGAGAAAGCTCCTGAATTCTTGGAGGAGGAAGGCTCTGAATGGGATCTTTACTGTCCTTCCTTCTAACCACGGTGTTGGATTTGCCTGATCTAAAATAAAATGCACTCACTGTAACTTTGTGTTCCTTTCTAAATTCAGATAATTTGGGGCTGCTGGACAGCAGTAGAGTTTCTGCTTCATTAAGCCTCAGTTCACCCACCACCAAGCTCTTCAAAGCACTCCCTCCTCCCCAACCGCCTGGCCATCCACCTCAGGCTCTGCATCTCTCCTGCTGTGGACCAGCTGTTCCTGGGCTATAATGTAAAGGCTCTTCAGAGGCCACAGGCCCATCCCAACCCTCACCAAGGCCTAAGCCCAAATATATATGAAAGCAGAAAGCAGTTCTACATGTGGCTAGCACTCCACCTGAATTTAAGCCCCAGAATTCAGATTGGTCTGAGGGCACTGTGGTTATCACAGGATTTTAAAACTCCCCAGATTGTTCTAATATGTAGCTAAGATTGAGAATAGCCACTTTACATTTTTAGCTCTTTCTCTCCATAATTTTGGCAAATCATTCTCTGATAATGCATGATTAAATAAGAGGATTAAGTAAAAGCATGTATAAGCTACAGTGTAATGCATTAATATCAGAACCTTCAGGGTGGAGAGAAAAGTGAATTTGAGGGTGGATGCTCACATTTTAGCTGCTAATCAGCAGCACATTTGTGCTGCGGAATACATTGAGGCCTTTTGTTACAAATGTTGGTTTCAGATCCATCTATCTCCTTCATGTTTCTTCTAATAACTCTATTGCTGCAAATTACAGAAAGTGCCGATGGTCTCTCACCAGTATTCTTAGGTGAGCCCGTTTCATAAGCAAGGAAGCATCCCTGTTAGCCAATCCAAGTTGGAGGATTTTTCCCTCCACAACCCTCTCCCCGGAGAAAGCACAAAAAGATACTCTTTTTGAACAGCCATGCATTCTGTTTTTATATCTTAATGTAAAAAGCACTGCTAACCTGTTCACAATGCCTTGTGGGTCACCTTTTAAAAAATATTTTTGTAGCCAACTTTGTAATATACTTTAAGTTTCTACACTTTGTATTTAACTTTTAATTTAAACCTCATTAAAAAATATAAGTATGCCACACTTAGTTTATTCATTAGTTCACATATCAGTGGTTCTTACCTTTATAATAATACTAGCCTTTAGTATCCAGTTTCATTTACACATTAAAAAATAATATACACTGAATTTTATAAATTTCAATATTGCTTAGTATAAAGTTTTATTTCTGAGACAGAGTTGTGCTCTTTTTGCTCAGGCTGGAGTGCAATGGTGCAATCTCGGCTCACAGCAACCTCCGCCTCCTGGGTTCAAGTGATTCTCCTGCCTCCTCCTGAGTAGCTGGGATTATAGGTGTACACCACCACACCAGGCTAATTTTGTATTTTTTTAGTAGAGACAGGGTTTCTCCATGTTGGTGAGGCTGGTCTTGAACTCAGGACCTCAGGTGATCTGCCCACCTTGGTCTCCCAAATTACTGGGATTACAGGTGTGAGCCACCATGCCTGGCCTAGTATCATATAAAGAATCATATAAAAAGTATCATGTGCTGAAGTAGTTGTTTTGCAAAACTCAAATCTGAATTTCAGTTTTAAAAAATTTAGTCTAGTAGTAAGAAAAACTCCTGATTTGTCAAGTTCAGTTATCCTCTAATTTGCCTTCAAATCCTAAATGATTGGAAGGGGGAAATGGGGAAAGGGACCTCAAGGGAAAAGTTTTCCAGACCTCTTAGGTTCTCCTAGGGTCTGGACATCCATTCTGAGGTCTTATCTATGTACTTCAGTTGCGCAATTTTATATTTCGTTTCTCCCTAACAGGACTATGTACACTTATAAGCAGTGATCAGTATAGTTCTTTCTCAGATGCTCCATAAAAATTGAGCACCATACAGGGTAGAGTATTAGTAAATAATTCTTGCAGGCTGGGTGCGGTGTCTTACGCCTTAATCCCAGCACTTTGGGAGGCCAAGGTGGGCAGATTACAAGGTCAGGAGTTCAAGACTAGAATGGCCAACATGGTGAAACCCCATCTCTACTAAAAATACAAAAATTAGACGGGCCTGATGGTGCATGCCTGATGTTCCAGCTACTTGGTAGGCTGAGGCAGAATTGCTTGAACCTGGAGGTGAAGGTTGCAGTCAGCTGAGATTGAGCTACTGCACTCCAGCCTGGGTGACAAAACAAGACTCCATCTCCAAAAAAGAAAAAAAATTATTGAACTCAGAGGAGGCTTTACTGTTAAGTTGAAGAAGTCCAAGCTCTATGGCCTCTTCAAAGGCCCCAGGAAAACTCTAGTAATGTGTTTACTTGGTTATGTGTATACAAATACAGGGAATTGTAGATAATGCTGCATATACAATTACAAACAAATGCACTGTTATTTTAATAGAAATTGTGAAAAACAAGTTATCAGAATGCCTGTTTTTCAGGCACAAACCTGTAATGGTTCTGAGGCAGGAGAACAGGGTGTGGAGGCAGGGAGCTTAAAGCCAATTCATGCTGACTTCCTAGAACTAAATCAAATGGAAACACTTCAGCTATGACAGGAAATATTCTATTTACACAGGACATACACCAAGTAAATGACATTGTAACTTTACTTCATCTTTTTCATTTACATAGGGTGTATACCAAGTAACAAATGAAAACCTCTAGAGGGTAGTTAAACGCCAGAAAATTCTGTAACAGGGTTCTAGAGACCCTATACCTTGGCCCAGCACTCCCACCCTGTGGTGGGATTCATTTTCAATAAATGTCTGCTTTTGTTGCTTCATTCTTTCCTTGCTTTGTGCATTCTGCCCAATTCTTTGTTCAAGACGCCAAGAACCTGGACACCCTCTGCTGGTAACAATACCACAAACAGCAGGTCTGTGAAACTGCATGCTTTTGGCATCCAACTCGCATCAATAAGTTCTAATCAACTTTTCTAGAAAAATGATCTTTTGTTCTCATAATAGAAAATATTACAAAATATGAAGATGCACTCAAGAAGAAATGCAATAATGTAGAAAAAATTTTATAGTGATATGTCAAGCAGTTAACAAAATTTCTTTCTAGACTTTGTGGTATTGCTCAATGTGCAGAAAAAGGTTAACTCAGCAGGCTCATATTGTTCCAACCCTGCACATGCCAAATAAAGGACTGTCCCTTGATCAGGTCCTAGAAGAGAACTTCTGAACCCTTAGAATATCCTGATGGAAGGGTTTTTGTGTGCCTGAGTCCCTGAGCCATGCTTTATCAGTTTGACCTCTAAGGGACTAGAGACCAAGTAGCTAAGGTCAGTCATTCAGATGTTGATGCCTGTGAGTGACCCCCACCCCCATAAAAGCCATGGACATCATGGCTCAGGTGAACTTCCCTGGTTATCTGCACTCTACAAACATTGCCATATCATTGCTGGGATAATTCAGTCCTGTCTGTGCAACTCCACTGGGAGAGGACAAATGAAAGCTTGGACCTAGTTTCTCCTGGACTTCATCCCATGTGCCTTTTTGTTTGCTGATTTTTCATCCATATCCTCTGTTGTAGTAAACAATTACCATAAGCAAAACTGCTTTTGTTGTTGAGATGGAGTCTTGCTCTGTCGCCCAGGCTGGAGGGCAGTGGTGCGATCTCAGCTCACTGCAACCTCTACCTCCCAAGTTCAAGTGATTCTCCTGCCTCAGCCTCCTGAGTAGCTGGGATTACAGGCATGAGCCACTGTACCCAGCTAATTTTTTTTTTTTTTTTTTTTTTTTTTGTATTTTCAGGAGAGACTGGGTTTCACCATGTTGGCCAGGCTGATCTTGAATTCCTGGCCTCAGGTGATCCACCTGCTTCAGCCTCCTAAAGTGTTGGGATTACAGGCATGAGCCACTGCGCCTGGCCCAAATAATCTTTTCTGAGTTCCTTTATTATGGGGCCTGTGGGTACTCCTTAAAAACCCCCAACACAGTCAGCTTTTAACATCTTGAATTGCCATGACTATTCTCATTGTTAATGAACATTGACTTTCATACCTCTTAGTACAATACTAGCATTCCCAATACTGCATTTTCTTAAAGGACCCTAAAATTGCATAATTTCCAGCTCCACAAAACCTGGACCTACCCTTGTGTATAGACACATTCTCACATCCTGAGCCTTTACACATGGTGCTATCTTCACTTGGAATGAGTCTGTTGAACTGATCCACCTGAAAAGTCCCTTTTTCCTTTGGTTTTTTGCCAGAAGTTTGTCCTCCTTGTCAGAGCAGTTCCTCCATCCCCATCACCTTTACATAGAACTGCTTTGGCACTTATTGCATTAGAATGTGGTTACCTTACATTACAGTTGCATGTGTGTGTGCCCTGCTAGACCAGGAATGGACTGGCTCTGCCATTTTTATTCTCTCAGAGAGAAAGGGAGAGGAGACAGAGAACAGGTGGAGAATCAGAATGTGTGTTTAACATTCAGCAAACAAAAAGGCACATGGGATGGTGATTAACCAGACAGACCTGGAGTCCACCATTGACTAGCTGTGAGATGTGGACAAGTTTCTCTCTCAGCACTTCTGTTTCTTTGCTGTAAAACCACTTGCTGAAATACTATTGTCTTACAGGTTGTTTGAGGATTAAGTGAGAAGATGTAGGTGAAAAGACCTAGCCAACCATCTGGGTAAAGTCTAAGGGCACAGGATCTGGAATGAGGTGCCCTAATTTCATTTTTCTTACCTGCTATCGTGTGACTTGGGGCAAGCTATTTCACTTCACCTCAATTTTTCTAACACGTAATGGAGACAACAGCATCTACCTCACAGGACCATTGTAATGATTAAATGAGCTAGCCAGTGCCTGGCACGTAAGAAGGAATCAATAAATACTGGCTATTAGATATTCAATGCAGGCTAACCTTTCTATTTTATGGCATAAATCTGTGTATAGACTTGGGCATTTGTGTTTATTTCCTTTACATTAATATAATCCTGCTTGTACCTCTATGCCAGAGGAGGCAGAAAATTCAGCTTCATGCAGACAGAGCTCCCCCAAACCCATGCCTAAGAGGTGCTAGGACAGGTCCTAGGTATTGGTCATCAGCTCCAACAGCTGCCCTGGAGTCCTTGTTCAATATCTACTGTCCCCTCTCCTAGACTTGGAAGATTGCGTTAGGGCAGGAAGAACCATCCCTTCCTCCCTGCCAAACCCTGCAGAACCTCCAGAAACATTCCCTTGAAGGGCAGCTATGAGGCAACTAAGAAGGCCAGGGTGGCTTTCTATCTTAGTAAGAGCTCCCCTAAAGCCTGGCACCTACTCCAACAGCTAGACTGGAGTGTAAGGGAACAACAGTAAGCTTCAATGTGTATTTCTCCTGCTACCCCAATTTTTACTTTAGCAGGCTTTCCACTGCAACTGAGATTCTCTTGCATAGATGGAAGCCTCTGGAGTAAGGAGGCCTCTCTACAGGCAGATGAGAGCTTCAGAAAGCTACAATTTCTTACAGCCCTATGTTCATTCTGCTATTCAATTATTGCAGGTATTTATCAAAGGCATCCCAACATACTAGGCATTATGGCTCTTGGCCCTGGTTGCACCTTACGAATCCCCCCAGGGGAGCTTTAAAAAGTACCCATGCCTGGGTCCCCATCCTCCAGACACTGACTCAGTTTGAAGAAGGGTCCAATCACAGATGAATTTCTGCAAGTTCCCCAGGTAACTGATGTACATCCAGGGCTGGGAATCACTGGGTTAGGGTTTATGGATTTGGATGAAGTGGGTGTATTATATATAGAGAGAGACCTTACACTGTTCTTTGAAGCCCATCAGCACCACCTCCCAAGCCTTATATAGTGTAGTTACTGTTCTTCCAAGAGACAGCAGGGCCTGATGGGAAATGTCTTAGGTTGAAAGTCAGTTTGGAGTCTTAATTATTTGATTTTTGGTGAACAGTCTGTGGCTTGATTTCCCTTTAGAAAATAAGAAGTTAAGAGGTGAAAAGATTTCTGCCCTGTATTCCTCAGGGGATTATGGAATGTAGCTTTTGGGGGGGGTAGTTATATAAAAGACTTAATATCTGTAAAAAAACAGTATGTTTTAATACCTTTACCTCTCTTCAGAGCTTAAAACACTTTCCCCTCTAAGCTCTAAGACCTTCAAAGGAAATAAATTGGTGGAGGTATTGCCAAGTTAATAAAAGCAATTAAAATGTAATCTGGGACTAGTCACAAAATAAGTACAATATAGTAAGTTTATTATACACAAAATATATTCAACTACAAAATACACTAATGAGCAGTTTAAAACCAGATTTATTTCAAACTAGAAATTCAAACTGAGTGAAATATATCAATGAGTTCATGCTGGCAAATACTTGGATGCCTTTGGTGTAGTAATTTTATAAGCTTGCATTGCTTCACTGCTTTTTACAATTTTAGTTGCATTCATGGTCCTACTGAGGAGGGAAAATGTTCATATTTGGGCTTAAGTAGGGGCTAGGAAAATGAGAACCATTTATTCCAACCCAAGATTTAATAATTAGATAATTTCTGACTATTTCCACTGATTAAAAGGTAGTGTAATAGCACTTAGTAAGTGTCCAGTATTGCTGATAGCTTTACATGTATTCTTATCCTCAAAACTGACAAACTCGAAAGGAAAGTACTCTGATTAACCTCATTTTGCACAACAGGAAAGTGGAATATAGAATAATTAACTGTGCCAAGATCATACAAGCAACAGAGAAGGGGGCAGAATTCAAACCCAGGTAGTCGGGACATGGAGCCGATTCTCTTAACCGCGACCTCATTATCCTGCTAGACCCTGCTCGAAAATCTGAATTTCGATTCTAAGTGAGGTGGAACATCTGATTCAGCTTCCATTCTATTGTCCTTCCAGAAACATCATCCCAAACCACAGAACACTTGGCTTTCTTTGCACTGCTGTCAGCATCAAAGGAGAATATCGTCCTCTATCTGGTAATCACATTAACTGAGCCAGTTTAAGTTTGCTTCTAAGAGTTGGAGGCATTCCATGTATTCGATTAATCCAATCAATAAATACTGAGCACCTATCAAAACACTTAGGTAAAGGAGGGAAGAATGCAAAGTCCTTCCTTGCCCAGAGGAGATTTATGGCCTAGTGAGGGAGGAAGACAAGCTGCCTCTGCTGAGCAGTGGGATAATTGCTACAGTAGAGGGAAGCACAGGCTGCTAAGATAGCTCTTGACAGAGGCAAGGACTGATGGGAAAGTGTTCCTGGAGAGGTGGCTCCTAACCTGGGCCATATATTAGAAACATTTTGAGAGATTTTAAAAGACTGACAACCCCAGACCACAAACCAGTCTAATTACATTAGAACCTCTCATTTTTTTAAAGAGCCCCTAAAGCACTGGTCCCTGAAGAGAAGCATTAGCATCCCCTGGAAACCCGTTAAAACTCCCACTCCAAATCTACTAAACCAGCCCTCAAGGGGATTTCAATGTAAAGTCTGAGCAGTGGTTCTGAAGCTTAAACAGGCATCAGAATCCTTTCAGGGCTGCTTAGAATACAGGTTGTCGTATACAGAGAATACTGAGACCCAGACTGCTAAGTCACCCCCAGAGGTTCTAGTTCCATAGGTCTGGGGTGGGGATCAAAAATATGCATTTCTGACTGGTAGCCAGGGTGCATAATTAATGAGAACCACTGTCCTAGAGGAAAGATGGCTAAACTGGAATCTGAAAGGTAAGAGCTGGCAAGCTAAAGGATATGGTTTATGGGATGAAAACATATTCAGTGATACTTGAGCACCAGCTACATGCCAGGTGGTGCTCTAGATGCTAGGACTCCTGGAGTGAATGCAGGAAAGTCCTTCTCTCAGGAGCTTACTTGTCCAGCAACACAGACAATAGATACTGTCTGAAAGTGACAAATTCAGTGAAGAAAAGAGTCTCCTACACACCCTTTCCCCCGCAGGTGTGTAGGAGACTCTTGAGTCAGAGTACTCAGGTAAGAGCTCTCTGGGAAGACAATTACAGCAGACTGATGCTTGTCCTACAATATCTTTTTTTCCCCCATCTTACAAAGCAGGAGAATGTGAGTAGGGCACATGGCAACCAAGAATAAAGGTTACATTTCCCAGCCTCCTTTACAGCTTTTGAGACCACAGGGCTAAGTTCCTGCCAATGAGACGTAGGCATCAATTTGCTACTTACAGGAACCTTTCTGAGAAGTATTAGCCTTTGTCTCTCCTTTTCCTCCCTTCCTCCATCCTGCTGCTTGGTTTGTGAATACTGCTACCTTAGACCGTAAGGACACAGAACATGTCCCAGGAGTAGCAGAGCAGTAGCCAAAATGAACCAGGGTCCCGTAAGACAATGGAGCAGAGCCTCTGTACCAGCCCTGGACAGCAAAGTTCTAGACAAATACATGTCCAGACTGTTTAAGCCAGTGACAGCTTGGGTTGTCTTGATATTTGTGACAGAACCTAATACTAGTTCAATGGCTTTTATGTAGAGCCCTAAAAGAAATGAGGGAGCAAAGCATGTCGATATCTGGAGGAAAAAAACCGCAAGAGTAAGAGCTCCTGAAGTTGGGTGATGCTCAGAGTATTTGAGGAACAGCAAGGAAGCTAGGGTGCCTAGAATACATGGAGAATGTTAAAAGATGAGGACAAGGAGGTACTGATGGAAGGTTCAGATGATAATAGGGTTTTTAAGTAAATTTTAGCTCATTTAAAAAGTATGTATAAACACGTACATTGTAAGGAATAAGGAAAACATCTTTGTAATCACCACCAATGTAAGGAGGAGAATGTTGCCAGGAACTTGAAGTCTTCCTCTGTGGCTCATCCTCTTCCCTGCCCCAGAAGCAACCAGTATCTCCAATTTTTTGATAATCAGCCTGTAGCTTTATAGATGTAAAACCTATATATACTTCTCTTGATGAAACCACTGGGTCTACAGGGTGTGCACATGCATAAATTTACTAGATAATGCAAAACTGTCCCAAAATAGCTATGCTTGTTCTACCATAGTGAACTAAAGTTCCCTTTGCCCCACATTCTAAGTGCTTTTAGCTCTTTTTTTTTTTGAGATGAGGTCTTGCCCTGTTGCCCAAGCTGTTAATGACTGAAATGTACACTTTAAAATGGTTGGTGATAAATTTTATGCATATTTTACAATTCAGACAAAAAACTGTGGGATGGCGTGTTTTTCCCTGATTGCTGAAATTAAACATCTTTTTAAATTTATGAAGATTTTCAGATACCTATGTGAACTGCCTGTTCAGTTTTTCACCCATTTAACATTTAACTGCTGGGTGCAGTGGCTCACTCCTGTAATTCCAGCACTGTACAAAGCTGAGGCAGGCAGATGGCTTGAGCTTAGGAGTTCGAGGTCAGGCTGGGCAACATGGTAAAACCCTGTCTCTACCGAAATTACAAGAACAGCTAAGTGTGGTGGTACATGTCTGTGGTCTCAGTTACTTGGGAGGCTGATGTGGGAGGCTGCATTTAACTGAGATGGTGACACCACACTCCAGCCTGGGTGACAGTGAGATCCCATCTCAAAAAAACATATATTAAAAACAATCTTTTTTTTTGACAAAGTCTCACTCTGTTGCCCAGGCCGGAGAGCAGTGGTGCGATCTCAGCTCACTGCAACTTCCACCTCCCAGGTTCAAGCAATTCTCTGCCTCAGCCTCCTGAGTAGCTAGAATTACAGGCACCCACCACCATGCCCGGCTAATTTTTGTATTTTTAGTAGAGACCCTTGATCAGGCTGGTCCTGAACTCCTGACCTTGTGATCCACCTGCCTCGGCCTCCCAAAGTGCTGGGATTACAGGCATGAGCCACCACACACGGCCTAAAAACAAATTTTTATGGTCTGTCTCTTAATTCGCAGGAAAATTTTTTATTTTCTGAATCCTAGTCCTTTGCATGATGAATGTTGCCAAGTATCTTCTCACAGCATATAATATGCCTTTTTACTCTTTCTGGTATCTTTAGAGGAAACTTTTCTATTTTATGACAGGGTCTCACTCTGTCAACCAGGCTGGAGTTCAGTGGCCTGCTCTTAGCTCATTGCAGCCTCAACTTCCCCAGCCCAAGTGATCCTCCCATCTCAGCCTCCCAAGTAGCTGGGACCACAGGCTTGTGCCAGCCACAATGCCTGGCTAATTTTTTAATTTTTTGTAGTGACAGGGTCTCCCTGTGTTACCCAAGCTAGTCTTGAACTCCTGGATTCAAGCGATCTTCTTGCCTTGGTCTCTCAAAATGCTGGGATTACAGGTGTGAGCCACTTCAGCCAAAGCAGGAAGCAGTCTTTAAAGGAGTAAAATCATAAAATAAATGCAGAAAAAGCATTTGATATAATTTAGCGTTCATTTTCCTAGGAACAGGAGTGAATTTTCTTACCTGATGAGGGTTATCTCTTAACTATATTAATCCGTTAATGAAACATTGCATTTGCTTTTTTCTTTTTCCTCCTGGAGACAGGCCATCACATCCAGCCTGCATTCGGTTTATCTGATATAAAACCATCATTAAATTCCTAGGATAAATCCAACAAATCAGTATTTTGTTATCCTTTTTAAAACTTCAGATTCAGTTTGCAAGTATATCAAATTTTTATAACTATCAGTGATATAACTACGTTACATTTTTCTTTTTCATACCATCCTTGTTGAGTTTGGTGTCAAGGTTATGTGAGCTGGAGAGCATCCCTGTTTTTTTCCTTCTTAAAATGAGCAAGGGACCATTCCCCACATCACCTCCCCCGAACTGCCTCCCTGCTCACAAATGGTTTGGGGTAAAATATCAGTTATTCTCTTCTTTGAATGTATGATGAACTCACTGGTGAGGTCAACTGAGCCTGGAGTTCTCTTTGTGGGCAGAGTTATCCATTCATTCAAATGCTTTACGTGACTATAAAACAATTTAGATTTTCAATCTCTTCTTGAGTCAACTTTAGGCAAATTACACTTTTCCATTACATTCACTCCAACTACATTTTCAACTTTGTTGGCATAAATTTGTACCTATCTTTATGTCTTTAATGGCTACAGCATCTCTAGTTATGTCTCATTTTTTGATTACAAATAGTTAATATTTGTTCCTTCTTTTTCTTGATAGGTTTCACAAGTTTGTCATTTTTATTAGTCTTTTCTAATAACCACTTTTAAACATTAATTTGTTTTTGTTTCACTTATACTTATTTTTTTCATTTTTAACTTACTGTGGTACTCTAACAATCCATTTTCAGCCTAGCTTTTCTAACATATATTAATAAATTTGAGGCTATAAAATTCCCTCTAAATAATACTTACTCTAGCCGCACCCCTATCAAGGTTTTGATATATCATGTTTTCATTGTCATTAAATTATACTTTCCATTTCCAATAGATCCTCCTCTTAAGCTCATGAGTTTCTTAGAAGCACATTCCTTAAAAGTTCCAGACATAAAATTTTTCAAATGATCATTTTATTACTAAACTTTAGCTTAACTGCATTGTGGTGAGAACACACTTCTGTATTTCCAGCCTCTGAAATCTATGGCCTAGTATTTAATCAATGTCCCACCTTTATTCAAAATGTGTATTCTATAGTTGTTATGTTCACTAAATCAAGTTTGATAATGTTTAATTCACCTATACACTAGTTTTTTATATGCTTGTTCTATTACAGAGGGAAGTATGTTACCATTTTCTGCGATGACTGGATTTTTTAAAATCTCCATGCAGTTCTGACATTTTCTACACTACATCTTTTAGGGTGTTATTACTAGGTACATATAACTTTTTTTTTTTTGAGACACCGTCTGGTTCTGTTGCTCAGGCTGCAGTGCAGTGGCACGATCTCAGCTCACTGCAACCTCCACCCTCAGGCTCAAAGTATCCTCCCACTCTCAACCTCCTGAGTAGCTGGGACTACAGACACATGCCACCATACCTGGCTAATTTTTGCATTGTTTTTGTAAACAGTTTTGCCACAATCCCCAAGCTGGTCTTAAAACACCTGAGTTCAAGCCATCCTTAACCTCCAAAAGTGTTGGGATTACAGGCATGAGTCACAATGCCCAGCTGCATATAACTTTAGGATGGTTTTTTCTCGTAATAATTCTGTGGCTGTTTTGTTTGATACAGGAAGTACTACATCAGAATTCTCTAGGTTACAATTTGCTCAGTGTACCTTTTGCTATCTTTTAAATTTCAACATTTATTACTCTTATATTTTATATCTTTTGTAAATAGTATATTACCTAATATTTGATCATCTTTGTCTCATAACTAGAGCATTTAGTCCATTTTCACTTAGTGTAAAAGTGGACAACATGCAAGGACAAATGAAAACTCTAGGGAAGAGTCAAAGGCAAATGCTAGAAATCAAAGCACCATCAGAGAAACAAAGAATCCCATTAATGAGCTCATCAACAGACTGGACACAGCTGAGGAAAGAGCTAAGGGACTTGAAGAAATGTCAGTCAAAACTGTCAAAACTGAAATGTGAAGAGGAAAAATGAATAAATGCACAACAAAATATTCAAGAACTATGGGAGAGTTACAAAAGGTGTAATAAACAAATGGGAATACTAGAGAGAGAAGAAAGGGAAGAGAGGAAATATGTGAAATAATGACAGAAAATTTCCCAACATTAGTGATAGATACCACACCACAGATCCAAGAAGCTCTGAGAATATCAAACAGGGTAAATACCAAAAACAAAAGTCTACACTTAGGCTATGATATTCAAACTGCAAAAAAATCAAAGAAAAAATCTTCAAAGAATCCAAAAGAACAAAACACTCAACCTATATAGATGCATAAAAATTACCTTGTACTTCTCTTCAGAAACCATGTAAACAATAAAAAAGGAGTGACATATTTAAACATCATACCAGAAGTCTTAGCTAATGCAGTAAGATAAGACAAGGTATGCAAACTGGGAAGAAAAAAATAAAATTTTCTCCACAGATGGCATGATTATTACAATTATAAAGAAAATCCAAAAAGAACTGATGGGGAAACTTCTGGAATTAATAAGTGATTACAGCAAAGTTGGAGAATACAAGGCTGATATACAAAAGTTCATTGCTTTCTTATATTTAAGAAATAGGCTGGGCGCGGTGGCTCAAGCCTGTAATCCCAGCACTTTGGGAGGCCAAGGCGGGTGGATCACGAGGTCAAGAGATCGAGACCATCCTAGTCAACACGGTGAAACCCTGTCTCTACTAAAAATACAAAAATTAGCTAGGCATGGTGGCGCGTGCCTGTAATCCCAGCTACTCAGGAGACTGAGGCAGGAGAATTGCCTGAACCCAGGAGGCAGAGGTTGCAGTGAGCCGAGATCGCGCCATTGCACTCCAGCCTGGGTAACAAGAGCAAAACTCCATCTCAAAAAGAAAAGAAAAAAAAGAAATAACAGTTGGAATTTGAAATAAAAACACACTATCATTTATATTGCCATCATTTACTCATTTACATTAGTATTATTTCATTACCAAGTACAATACTTAGGTATAAACCTAACACAATATATACAAGATCTACATGAGAAAAATTACAAGACCCTGATGAAAGAAATCAAAGGACTAAATAAGTAGAGAGATATTCCATGCCTATGAATAAGAAGTCATTATTGTCGTTCTTCCCAATTTGATTTATAGAATCAACACAGTTCCAGTCAAAATCTCAGCAAGTTATTTTGTGGATTTCTACAAACTCAACAATGAAGAACAATGTCTGAGGACTGACTCTATGTGACTTCATGACTAACCATAAAGCTATAGTAATCAAAACAGTGAAGTAGTGGCAAAAGGAAAGACCAGCAGATCAACGGAACAGAAAAGAGAGTCCAGAAACAGACCTTCACAAATGCAGTCAACTGGGTTTTTTTTTTTTTTGGTTTTTGTTTTAAGATGGAGTCTCACTCTGTTGCCCAGGCTGGAGTGCAGTGGCTTGATCTCAGCTCACTGCAACCTCCACCTCCCAGGTTCAAGTGATTCTCCTGCAACTGCCTCCTGAGTAGCTGGGACTACAGGTGCACATACCACCACACCTGGCTAACTTCTGTATTTTTAGCAGAGAGAGGGTTTTGCCATGTTGGCCAGGCTGGTTTTGAACTCCTGATGTCGAGAGATCCACCCGCCACAGCCTCCCAAAATGCTGGGATTACAGGCATGAGCCACTGAGGCCAGCCCTGATCTTTGGCTAAGGAACAATGGCAATGGAAAAAAGATATCTTTTCACCAAATGGTGCTAGAACAACTGGAAATCCACATGCAAAAAACAGATCTACAAACGGACCACACACTCTACACAAAAATTAACTCAAAATGGATCAAAGTCCTAAATCTAAGAGTTAAAAATTGTAAAATTCTTGGAAGAAAAAATGTGGGTAAGTCTTCACGACTTCAAATTTGGTTGGCAGTGGATTTTTAGATATAAAACGAAAAGCACGGACAATAAAGATAAGGACAGATTGGAGACTTCCTCAAAATTTATCTGTGCTTCAAAGGACAGTATCAAGAAAGCAAAAAGACAATCTACAAAATGGGAGAAAATATTTGCAACTTCCTATTTCTTAATGAGGGCCTTTACATACAATATATGAAATACTCTTACAACTCAATAATAAAGTCAGATAGCCCAATTAAAACACAGCCAAAGGATCTGAATAGACATTTCTCCAAAGAAATATACAAATGAGCAGGCCAGGCACAGTGACTCACATCTGTAATCCTAGCACTTTTGGAGGCTGAGGTGGGCAATCACTTGAGCCCAGGGGTTTCAGACCATCCTAGGCAACCATCTCTACCAAAAATAAATAAATAAATAATCTGGGCATGTTAGGGGAAAAAAAGTAGATCCCTACCAAAAATAAATAAATAAATAAGCTGGGCATGTTAGGGAAAAAAAAGTAGCCGGGTGTGGTGGTGTGCACCTGTAGTTCCAGCTACTCAGGAGACTGAGGTGGGAGGATCACTTGAACTAAGGAGGTGGAGGGTGCAGTGACTGAGATCATGCAATGCACTCCAGCCTGGGTGAAAGAGACCCTGTCTCTAAAAAAAAGAAAGAAAGAAAATATACAAATGACCAATAAACACATGAAAAAAATGGTCAACATCATTTGATAAATGATCATTTGGGAAACACAAATCAAAACCATAATCAGTTAATATTTCCGACCCACTAGACTGGCTGTAATAAAAAATAATAACAAATGAATTGAAGACATTGGAACCATCACGCATTGCATGGTGAGCAGTCACTCTGGAAAAGTCTGGCAGTTCCTCAAAATGCTAAAATGGAGTTATATATGACCCACCAATTCTACTCCTAGGTCCATACCCTAGAGAAAAGAAAAGGTATGGATACAAAAACACGTACATGAATGTTCATAGCATCATCATTTATAATAGCCAAACTGTGGAAACAATCGAAAAGTGAATCCAAACTAGTGAATGAATAAACAAAGCATGGTATATCCATACAATGTTGTTATTTGGCCATGAAATGCAGTAAAACACTGAGACATCTACAGCATGGGTAAACT